GCACTAACTTCCAGGAAGCAGCCCTGAGCCACCATCTCCTGATAGAGGAGGAGAATATGGCTTCTCCCTCTCAGAACAGCAGCAGGGTGACTGCCCTGCCTTTCAGTAGCCTGGCTCTGAAAGGAAACTGGCCTGGCTCTTTTCTCTGGCCTAGACAGGACACGAAGCACTGTTAAGTCTTCTTTGGTTTTTGTTTTGGAAACCAGCAGATATTATGAAATGATGCCTATTGCTGCTCTTTGTTTAGGTAGCATTTGACAAAAACAACCTTACCTGTGTGGTATGGGTTGTAACTCTGCTCCTTTTGGTTAGAAGATAAATGTTATTTCAATGTATGTGACCCCCACCATGGGTAGCCAGGTTAATAATTTGAAATTAGCCAGTAGTCACCACCATAATTCTTCTGTTTTTTTTTTTTTATATACTTCCTAAGTCAAAACACGATACGTGTATTACTAAATGTTACAAAATATTCAGGGCATAGTTATATTGTGTAGTTGACTTATTAAGGTCTCTCAGTAATCTTGAGGTAATAAAATCCCAATATGAATGACCTAGCTTCAAAAACAGTTATGATTTGTCTATGTTTTAGGTCTGTGGTTACTGACTTGGTTTTAACAACATAGGACACTCAAAAAAAAAGTGTTACTAAGAAATTTACCCCATTTTATTTTCATTTACATTTTGAATTCTCATAAATTGTCAGGAGACCATCTGTAGCACTAAATACAGATTTTGTATAGTCAGTTTCTTCCTCACATATTGGTTCTCAGCCTCCTGGGGCAAGGTAGGGTTACCAGATGGCCACCTTTGTGAGCAGTGGTCTCAGGTGACTGCCTCTGGAGCAGCCTCCACTGTAGGCACATGGTTGGCATAGTTAGACCCTATGTGATGTTTGCAAGCCTGCATGTCCATTGAGTTTCTCTTCATTCTCCTTAACGTCATGGCTTATCTATGCAAAGCTCAATTTAGAAAAAAATTGCATTTCACAAAACCAGATTTATGCTTTAATGTGATGCAGTGAGAACTGAAAAGTGTGCAAAGAAAGGGGGCTTTTCCTTTCGTGTCTCCTGTTGTTTGGCACAGCGGGTCTTCATCTGTTTTGCATGTTATGTACGTGTGCAGTGATTAAATCAAGATAATGTGGTAGAAGGGGCTTTGATCAGTGCTTAGCTGAGAATAAGTTCTCTGAAGCAGCAGTGTTTTTCTTAGTGGTTCTGGAGGAGCTAACTGCCTTGCATTTTAGATAGGAAGGGATTGTAGAAAACTGCCATACTCTCAGATCCTTCCAGAGAGAATGGGTCAAGAGCTCTGCACTGCTCCTTGCTCTCCAGAAACACCCATCATGCCCTAGAGTGATGTCTGAGAAATCCTGTCCCTTCCCCCACACCCCTGGCCCAACACTAGATGGTCCTGTCTACAGAATTCTTACATGCCTATAATCTGCAAATGGCCTATATATAGCACATAATTTGACTTAAATGTATCTGTGTATATCTTAGCTTCCATTTGTTCTTCCATATTTTTTCAATGAATATATTTATTGTGCATTTACCATATGTCAGCCCTTGGGCATTCAGTATTGAACCAGACACATGGGACCTGCCTGCCCTCAGGAGCTAGACTGTACGCTCTTGACGATGAGGATCTTATACTTTGGTCCCTCAGAGCATCCGGCACAAAATGGATTGCTTTAGTTGTTATTATGTGCTTGAGTCTTTTCGCTTTCATGTTGCCTTAGAAACTGAAGGTTCCTGGGAAGCAAAGGGGTTTGACTGTGCACAGTGGTAATGGCAGGCAAGAAATACATGAATCAGGCTCTCAGCTCAGCCACAGTCTTTATCTGCTGAGAAACTATAATCTCATCAATTGAATGACTGGTGTGCTTACAAGTTTGTACGTGTGTGTTTATATATTATATATATTTTATATATTATATGTAAATCATATAGCATATGTAAACCAGGTTATATGTAAGCATGTATGTTATATATATATATATATATATATATATATATATATGCTTAAGTAAACCTTTAAAGCATTCAAGTGCTCGTTCTTTTTTTAAGGAATTCTTGAAACAATTACTTTTTCAGGGGAAAGCATCAAATCTTTGCCTTACTTTTTGCCAAAATGTATTCTGAAAAGTAAACAGACACTTTGCAAAGCATTTGAAACAGTGGGTTTCATCGGGATTTATTTTATGAGCATATCATTTATGTTTATTGAAATTTGAGATTTTCCTCTTCCCTTTCATTTTGCTAAGCCACCCCATGGCTTACCCTCCCCATACATCACTCCCTCATCACTGACAGTTATCGCTTTTTAAGGGATTTGTGTCTTCTGAAAATAGTCTAAAACATAGTGGTCCTCCTAGCCGGGCTGGTGATGTGTCAGATGTTCTTGACCTCAGCCCTGTCAGCAGCAGCAGAAGAAGCTGTAACGCAGATTTGGTGAGTGAAGAGACAGTCATAAGCAGTTACTTCTATGTGGGGAGGAGATCTCCTGTGAACCTTTTGGTTAAATGGGAGGGGGGAGGGGGCAGGAGCGGGGGAGCCCTCTCATGAAGGAAACAGGATCTAAGGAGCATTTTGAATGAAGAAAGAGCTTAGGGAGCCAGACGTTAACACATGGGGTGTGATGTGGGAGAGTTCTAAGATATGCAGACATCGTATGTGGCTGGGAGGGAATGGGGCAGGTCTGATGCATTTCCTTAAGGAAATTGACTGGATGCACAAGAAAATGGGTCCATCTGGCTGAGAAGGATCCTGATCTCTAAAGTCCGGGCAAACCCCTGGAGAAAAGGTCCAAGGTAAAAGTTGATGGGTGTGAAGATCAGAGTTTTGAGAGGAGGCAGACGCAGGCCTGCAGGCTGCAGACCTTAGCTGTGGTCTAGGAATACTTCTAACACAGCTCACATGTGCTGCTTTTTCTGCTGCCAGCTCCCAAAGGAACAGATTTAAGAAAGAAAATGTGTGGCATGGGGTGGGCACCCCCAGGGAGGAATTGGCCTCTGGTTCTTAGATGCAGTGAAGATTTCCTAAGAAGGTCAAGGAATAAAACATGGGGGAAAGGATATGTTAGGAAGATGAGCAGTATAATGTCCACCACATTTCCTTTGGACTGACTGCCAGGCATCCTGTCCCCACTTCTTAACCATAAGGATGCACAGAATCACTGTGAGGAGCAGGAGTAAAGATGACAAAGCTTCAATCCACAAATGTTCTGATTCAGTCTTCAGTCCATCCCTCAGAACCCAGAGTTGTATTTTACCTGTAAGAAAAACAGATGTGCCTAGAAAGACTATACTGGCACTCGGGGTGGATTCTGGGATTTGAACCCTGGGAGTTGAATTTTTGAAGCATTCTCCCCCACAAAACTGTATAAATGGCCAATAGAGTCACAGAAAGGCTCTCAGTAGTGGTGATCCTCATTTGTCAAAAGTTTCAGAAAAGATTTCAAGGGTACACACTTGGTTGTTTGAAATTTGTCATTATTATAAAAAATACTCATTTTGAGAAAGATTTTTTAAATGATTCTTTGTTTCTTTTTTTCTGTCAGTGAATGTGTCCTTGCTAAAGGAGCTGCTGTGGGGGCGGGGGGAAGAAGGCGACCACACTCTCTTTGGGATTATAAATGATACATTCCCATAGATGATCACAAACCACTATGCAGCATGCATTTTTCCTACCATAAGGAGTATTGGTTTTTAATATAAATCTATACTATGATTTGTTATGTTCTGTGACGGTTCATCACAACCTCATGCACTTTTCAGAAAATTAATACTATTCATTAGCATAAATCATAACCTGTTTCCTCGGTCTGTGTTTGAAATTGGGGGTGCCCCATCATCCAGGAGCTCGCTTGCTCTCTCTCAGTGAATTATGACCCATTAATTGTCATGGCTGGTGGGCTTCCCTGGTTAAATAAAGGGATAGGATTGGAAAGATTCAGACGTGATGCTTTGTTCTTGGGCTTTAATATTTTAATGAGCCTGCAGGCTTGGCTGCTCACAGAGGGAGGACCGAGATTGGGTTTCTGAGTGTGTTGTTAGTGTTAGCGCTTGTAGATGGATGTTCATTAGAAAGCTCTTGTTTCAGTTTCTCAAAGAAACTCCCCATTAGGAAAGATCTTTCAGCAGCATGGCAAGCAAGAGAGAGAAAAGAGAGAGGGAAGCTTTTAGCTGTAAAGTATTAAGGGGATATTGTATCAGTCATCCTAGTTCTAAAGATTTGCTTCTGAGAATTAATTGGAGCAAACACATCACAAGGCAGAAAAAAAGGTTTGTGGAGCAGGGATGATAGTTGCTGTCCTTGCACTTGGGGGCTCTTCATCGTGCAGCTGAATCAATACTACAGGGAATTATTTCTGGTTATCTTTTATGGGTTTGTAAGACATTTCTTTTGTTCGGTGTAATAAAAAACCCATTGTCTGATCAGTGGCTGACTAATTATGATAAGTAATTTGAAACATTCTTGATGAAACTTGTCTGTTAATTAACATCAGCAGCAAATGGAAACTAACAGGACAGCGAAGTGTGAGTGCACCCACTCTTCTCTGGCATTGACGCCGTCTTTCTGCAATATGCCCAATAAACTAAAGCTGCCGATGGTTAAAAAAAAAAAATAACAAACAGGTGTGAAGGTCTGACTCACCACCTAGGAAAAGTTATTGTGAACTTATACAAAGGAGTACTGAAATATTACAAGCAAGGGGGTGGTAGAAAGAAGTGTCAGGAGGTTGACTGATCCTACTGCATAGAGTAAGGAGAGTGGTTCCTGTCTTTCTCTTTTTTTTTTTTTTTCTTTAAAGCGTGATTCCTAAATACATTCATCCCATGCTGATCTGAACTGAGATACTCGTGGCAAATACAAATGTGGATTTATAAAATTGTACTTTGCAATGATTGATGTTGTCTGGCTATATTGTAATTATCATTAATTAAAACTGTTCATTGTTAATCGACTCAATGGCTTTTTTTTTTTTTATGCTTTTAGATTTCTACCTGGACAAGGACTGGTACTATACCCACAGATAGGAGACAAATTGGATATTATTTGCCCCAAAGTGGACTCTAAAACTGTTGGCCAGTATGAATATTATAAAGTTTATATGGTTGATAAAGACCAAGCAGACCGATGTACTATTAAGAAAGAAAACACCCCTCTTCTCAACTGTGCCAGACCAGACCAAGATGTAAAATTCACTATCAAGTTTCAAGAGTTCAGCCCTAACCTCTGGGGTTTAGAATTTCAGAAGAACAGAGATTATTACATTATATGTAAGTATAATTTTATTTATCTTATAGAAATTAGGATAAGCTAAATAGGTTTGTATCAATTTTTTAAATTATTACTGTGGCAAATAATTTGGTGAGAATCTTTGCTGAAAATTGATTTTTTTTTTTTATGAAACCTTAATTGAATGAGGGACCCTGTACCAATAGTACTCAATAATATAAATACCCAAAGAGGAAGAAACCTCCTAGAGTTTTATACTTTTATACTACATATATATATACATATATATATATGAATATACTCAGCATCTCTACTGACAAAAACATTTTTAAGGACCATTGGTGAGATCTTGTAGGTAAATCTTGTGCGATGACTTTTCTCTTCATCCATCCATCCATCCATCCATCCATCCATCTGTCCATCTGTTCATTCACGCATTTAGAAATTTAGTATTTACTCTGTGCCAGAAACTGTGTGTAAGTGCTAGAGATTCAACAGTGAGCAAGGTAGTGTAATGGTATCCTTTCCTTGTGGAGTTCATAGATCCAAAGGATAGGGGGGTTACCGGCAACCCACAATTACACACTGGCATGTGTTAAAACCAGATTTAGAAGAATAAGACAAAAACTTGGGTTTGTTCAGTGAATTACCATTTTTTTTAATCTACATAATAATATGACACATTGTTGCAGGAAACTGATACTGTATGTCCTACAGGTCATATCAGAGCCAACCCACTTCATAAAGCTGTGAAGTCAGATAGATGGTGCACACATCCAAGCACATGCCTACTAGGATAGCAAAAAGCAGGTTGGCACAAAGGTACAATTGTTCCAGGGCCAGGGTTTTGTCAGAGTGCAGTCTGGGTGACTGATTACATCACTCAAGCAGTGAAATATTTTGTTCTCAGTTTCTTTGGTTTAAAACTGCTCATAACTGGGTCAGAGTGTCCACTTGTTTGTTACCATGGGCTTCAGTTCACCAGGGAATGCAGAACTGCCGTCCTTTGGGCACGCTATCCCATCTCTTGGCGACCCAGTGGAAACTGCCTTTCTCAGTTTAGTGGCCGCTCTTCAGAGTACAAAGTCAGCAATTCACTAAATACTTATTTAGTACCCAATAATACACTGTTTCTTTACTGCATTAGCTATGAAAACAGAGATGTCCATAGTGGTCTAATTATCCTGTCCTTGCTGCAAACCTGGAACACCAGAGCCTGAAAACCTGTTTTGAAGCCAGTTTGACAGAGTACCTTAGCAAGAGTATGTACAACAAAGAAACAGAAAGTGGTAAATTATGGACTTAAAGGAATAAGTATCATAAAATGAAAGTGAAAGTATTCTGAGGGATGAACCAAGCAGATGGGGTGGTAAAGTATACAAAATAATAGAGAAATCTTTGAAAATATAAAATAGTTATTAGGTGAAATAAATGGAGCTTTTGGAAACCTAGTGGTTTACTTATTTCTTTGAAAGACTTTCTTTAAGTTAGACTGTTTACCAGGGACACTGATGTATAGTGTTGGGACCCGATGAATCCACACGGACAACTGTGTCCCCCTGGGTAGGTGGAGAGAGAGCACACATTGTGCCTGGGTGGGGGGGACGCCCTAGGGCACCCACTTCTCCTGCGGTGCTTGGTGTCCTATTACTAGAACTGTGTGTACTACCCAAGTCCACAAGCTGGCTTGCGTGGAGATAAAGCAATAGACATAGATTCTGTCCTCTTCTTTCCATTTATGACTTCATGAAGACGGCTTCACACATTCTGCGTCCCCCCCAGTGCAGGTGGTGGTGCAGTAAATGTGGTGGGTTTAGCTTCAATCTGAGGTAGGACTCAGGAATGCAGATACTGCATGTGCTTGATGTTAACATCTGTGTGTTCAACAAAGTGAGCATTTAGTAACTACATGGCATTAGTATGTGACAGGTATGTATTTAGAAGCATGATTTAATTTACATTAACCTATACAGTAATGACATCTCTTAGATTTCTTCTTGTAAAAACTCATTATTTCAGTAGCAGGTAGCTGAGCTCAGTTGGCCTCCAGAACTGGCCCTCAGAGTTAGGATTTATTAAATCCTATTGTAAAACCTCGTGGTAGCCTGGGACAAAAGAATCTTTCTGAAAATAGAGCCAAGAGTTTCAAGTGTGAAATGGTGAGAGGCTATTGGAACACTGCTGGTGGGGGGAGTGTCCAGGGATTGAGGGGCTGGCCAAGGAACTGGGAGACTCTCAACAGACCGCTGAGAAATCCTGTCGTGTCACAGACAGAGGAAGATACCACAGATACCGGGGAAAGGCCAGAAGCTTATTGCTCACTCCCGCCCCCAGCCAGTAGAGCTCATTGATAGACAGCTTTCCCTGGAAAGAAGATGAGAGACGAGCAGAAAACATTTTAAAATAGTTTAAAGAGTCTTTCCATTGCTTCTTCAAGAATTCCAAGATTTTTAAAAGTAACTGATTTCCACATCAAATGATCCCTCACATACATCCAAGCAAAAGTCACACTTGACTTAAAATAGTACGATTCAAGATAGCATAGTGGAGAATACTCAGATTTACAAATGTTATTTTTAACGCTTCAGGTCATCAGTTCACTTTGAGACCATGAATAATGTCGCTATGGGAGATGCTAGAATACAACATGTGTTCAACTCTGAATCTTACTGTCTAAGCACCTGCAGTGCTAGGAGTATGAGTATTAACACCTTCATCACTGTGTGCTGATTCCTTGTCATGGGAAGGAAACAGACAGGATGGTGTGGAGTAGTGCTATGCCCAAGGGGCACAGTCTGGTTTTCCAATGGACTCCCCAGGTATTGGATAATTTCCTAGGTAAACTGATTCCGGGAGCTCTGGCCGGCTGCCTAGAGACCTGAGGTCTAGTCCTGTTGCTGGTACTTGAGGAGAAAGTCACTTTATAGCTCTTTGAATTTTTTTCTAGAACATTCTTTTATCACTGTTGATGTTATAGCCAGTGATAGTGGTCTGCAGTTCCAAACCTTTTTATGGTTGGGTATTTACATCCCGGGTAGGATCCCTTATTAGTGTGTCTCTTCGCCAATTGAAATGGACAGGGTCTGCTATGAATTCTTTAAGACATTTAATTTGATTTACAGGGTTACTAGATTTTTAGAATATAGCCATCATACTTTGGAGTTTGGGAAGTAAATATTAATTTTTAATTGGAAGTGTATTTTTAAACCTACCAAGTATCCACTAAATTCCTTTAGAAAATGACATGACAAAATGATATGCTTCCTCATTAGTTCTTCTCATAAATGATTATTTGCTTTGACATGTGGCAAAATGATATATATAGGTTTTCTTAATGTTTAGAATTGACTTGTTCAAGTGACCTATTTCAGTAATTAACCTTAGGCCTGATTTGTATCATCAAACCTCCTAATCTTAAATGATCCAAACGTAGGGATATTAGTGCCATTTCCTCTGAAACTGCCCCCCCCCCAGCTGTTCTTTATGACATTCAGACTCTTAATTGTCCTAAAAGCATAGTAAGCATTCTGTATAACCTATAGTTATTTTTATTGTCTTTAAAATGTTTAAAAGCTTATGAAATAACTATCTGTTCTCAAGTGCCCATTTGCAAGGGAAGGTCTACCTTAGTAAACCCTCCAGTTAATGGGAGGATTGCATTCTTAACTGTGTTCCCAGCCTTCATCCATATCTGTGTCATAGACTTTATTTGTTAGACCCTTTCTGTGCATGGTTTACAGTTTCTCTTTAGAGCTGATAACCCAGCACTGAATGAATCGGCAATCTTGGTGTGCTGGCTCTTTGCAACATCCAACCTGATGAAGATTCTGCAGGTTGGTTATCCAACCTCAGCACAGAACCTTGCAAAATACCTACAGAGAGGTTTTTGTCACTCCATCAAAATTATGTGAGTCTGAGATGGATGAAAAATGGGTGCCATTATGTTAATACTTTTTAAGTGAACAGTGGCCACAGCCAGACTGTGACAAAGAAGGTCACAAGCACAGGGCCCCTCCCAAGTCAGCTTTATGCAATACAATATCTACAATATTTTCCTTCAAGTCTATAGCCAAGACTTGGACTTGTGGAATAGTAATAATCTGAAAGTTACCATTTTTTTAATTTTTTTTTTATTTATTCATGAGAGAGAGCGGCAAAGACACAGGCAGAGGGAGAAGCAGGCTCCCATGGGGAGCCCAATGTGGGACTCCATCCCAGGACCCCAGGATCACACCCTGAGCTGAAATAGACACTCAACCACTGAGCCAGCCACCCAGGTGCCTCTGAAAGTCATCATTTCTAACAATTGTTTGGTGAAAGGTTGTCCTTGAATGTACCCCCTGCCATATTCCCAGGGGTCCTTTCCAAGCTGCCCCTCCCATTCTTTGCCTTGGGAAAGTCTTCCTTGAGGAGCACCAGACGAATTTGAATGAGTCACAATTTCCTAGGCCATTGGCTTAGTTCTCTAAAACAATATTTAAAAAACCAAAGCATATGAAATTGGAAGGCTCCATAGTCAGCCTTGCTTGCTGTTTCTTAGGCATAAACTTCACTTCTGAGCAAAATTGCAAAATAAATTAAAATGCTTTCATACAAATATAACAAAACACTATTCTTGAAGAATCAAAACAGGAAGAGATTCCATTCCCTGCATTTTTGTCAAATATATATGTGTGTGTATATATTTTTTAATTTATATTTATTTGATTATGTTTATGTTCATTTTGTGTTTCTGATTTACTTACTTTTGGAGAGTAGGTATGGCACCTGGCATTAATAAAATATACTGACAACTTGTAACCTTTCCCCAGGAAAAATAGTTGTGGGAGCTTTCAAATATCCTTTTACATGTAGATTTCTTCTCAGGTATATAAGAATGTGTGGCCTGTGTAATGATTATGGGTTTTCTTTCATGAATTACTTTATTTATTTTTGAGATTTTATTTATTTATTCATGAGAGACACACAGAGAGAGGTGAGACAGTGAGACACAGGCAGAGAGAGAAGTAGGCTCCCTGCGGGGAGCCTGATGCAGAACTTG